AAATGTGTTTAATTATTATCTTCGTACTGCTCAGCTATCTCGCTGATAATTAAGCCTGGAAATATTTACACATCTTTTATAAACCATTTAGAGACCGCCAATCAGGGTAACCAAATGTAAATTGAAATTAAATTGTGGAAAGATTTAAATACAAAAATTACATGTATGCAATTGACAAAATGTGAAGACAATGTTATTGTCAAAATGAGATAATTTTGCTTGAATATAAATGAAATGTAACTGTTATTATTTACTATTTTTCTCTATTAAAAAGTGACAAAGTCCTATTTCAATTTTAAAAACATTTATACAACTGTGCATAATTGTGTGTCGAAAGGCTTTCTAAAGGCAGCAAATTTTAGTGTCTAATATGAAAATTTTAGAACTTAAAATAATTATTAAGACAGACAAAAGCATCAAACAAAACTCTCTTTAACATAGTTATACCTAACAATTCTCTTGCATTTGGAAATTTCTCATGTAGAACAACGCGTTATATTTTTTGCGAAGTAATAATTCATATTACTGAAATATTTTTAACCATGAAGGTTTACCCAAATTGTAATATACCAAGCTTGGTGTGAAGACAATGTAAAAATTTGCCTCTTTGTGCGTTGAAAATGGGTTGCGTTAATCGAAGGTGTTGGCGTAACTCGAAGGACGACGATTAAGCAATATCAATGTAGAAATTGACCATTTTTATTGTTATCAGTAATTATTTCGCATGAAACAAAGCCATACACCCATTAAGTTTACTTAGAACATCTGCTAAGTTCTGCATTGCAGAACGATATTTTTCGCAAGTGAACTTGCATGCAGGGTCGGATCCACCTTTCAAGCTATGTAGTAGAAATTCAACCTTTTATTGTTTATGAAATTATAAAAATTATCTGCAGTCGATGGTTGGTCAAGAGAATTGAAAATTTGATTCAGTCATAGCAATATGAGATAGGAAATTCGAGTAGTGTTGACTCAAGAAGCGAAATTTCAATATCAGACACTTAGGTGCAAGATTATTCCAAAATTTCATGTTTTGTGTCCAGTTTTTGCTCATTTCACTGAAGCAAAATGAGCCGGAACTCTAATTTTTACGTCATTCCAGAGTACACTAAACGGCTTTTTTTGATGCAGTGAAATAATTTTCTTTAATCCGGGAAATTCTGTCACTTTTCTGCTTTCGGGTCAATTTCATTTTGCAGGAAAACGAAACGATTTTGGTCACATGTTCACATCAAGACTTTACGTTCTACATGTAGGTAACCCCAAAAGCAGCTTTATGTGGCATTTAAAAACTAGAAACAATTTATTATGATACAATTCTCCTACTTGGTCGATAATTACAATTATTTTATTACTTTTGTTTAGGTCTTGTGCATTAATTAAAATCAGGAACTTTTGTATATTTAATTTCCAGTCGATTAATTTATCAAGGACGGAATGAGAATGAAATATTGATTGTTAAAAAGTGGCTAAGTATTGCATTTGTTGCATGGTAAACGTTTAAATTGGATTTTACTTAAAGGCACGACTGATACATATGTTTTGCATGTTCCGAAATTTAGTGTGATTTGGACATTAAAAGCGATTTTCTTTTGGTAATAACAACAACTAGGTCAAGTGGATGTATGTCTTGCCAAATATGTTTTAATTATCGGCGGTTTACATAAGAAACTATTCGAAAAAAGTGGATTATTTCTGTTTTTATTCATTCGAAACCTTTTTGCTTTGACCTAATCAAGTACAGATTTCAGGACCTGTTTTGGGCCTATTAACTTTCCCTGTACTTGCCTACATCAGAAACTCTTGACGGCCCTGATGGCATCATCATGTGAAACATTATCATACAAGTTTCACTGTTCTTCATTCTTTTGTGCCTTTTTAGCTGTTCTGCATTGCTAATTGCTCCAGTTTGCAAAATTGCAAATACTGAAGAGAGGGAATTTTGTTAGGGAATAATATCATAAAACATCTCCCTTCCTAGATTCTAAAACTGGTTCAATTTTGATATTGTGAAAATTTTGAGGTTTCATTTCTATTCATTTTGCCGCTTATCAATTTTCAAAAATAAATAGAACTAAAAATCTCTAGTTGATAAACGAATAATCCCATTGCTCAATAAGTGTAAATGCGGAGTGGCTATAAGTTTTTCCTTCCAATGATTCTGATCTGCTGAAGACTTTCAAGGAACTGATCTCATTCCATTCATCTGCATCATCAACCTGGATAAAATCTTTCGCACCATTGATGCCGCATGCGAAAGCAATTCTCCAATGCGACTAGTGAAGGCCCCATCATAGATCAGTAACATAGAATCAATTTTTCCTGTTCTCACGATCCGTTGATCGTATCAGCCAGCAATTTTAATTAAGTATGGTGCTTTAAATCTACGTTGACTGCATTTGCGACGTGGTTCTCATGTTGGTGCACTCCCATGGAATCGATAAATGTCAGCAAACCTCTTTCAAAGGTCCGCTTATTGAGAAACCATTGCTATTGACTGGCTTTGCCTGCAAAGCAACATTGACCTAGGTCTATTAACGTACACAGCCCGAAGGTGTTAAATTAAAGACTTTGTTGGAAATGTTAAATTCTCAAGTGTTTCACTCGTCTGCCTAGGTGGAGCAACCGAGATCTGCTTGTTTAGATGCGTTGGTATAATTTTGCTTCAATTGGTTTCAGATTGGGTCATCAGCAGTGGATGGACTAGGAATGTTGGAGTTCCTACCCAGCCCTGATATGAAGTACTTCAAGGACCGCTGGTGAGTACAACAATATGTTATTCTTCTACTCGACATTCTATTGAAAACAGATGGTAATCACGAATAATTTAGAGAATCACGATTGCATAGAAGGTACGGTTTCATGACTGGCCATCCCACCGCGAGACCTCCAAATTCCTCAGCCCATCTCAGTTCCTCCAAGCCCATTGTTTTGCATGGCAATAAATGTTTCGCCTGCTCAGATCAACTAGGATTACATCTGCTTAAGTCTCTTGCATGGGCTTAAATGTTAACCGACCGCTTATTTAGCCAGCGCCTTAAACTTCCTTCCGGATACCATCAGCACCGCAACTGTTCTAGAGTGTTCTAAATTTTTTTCTCCTCTAATGAGCTTCGACTGTTCCCAATCCAAACACCCACTAGTTCCATGTCCCTAATCAAACAAAGCAATGTTGGGTGCCAAGTTGATCACCTTGCCCTTGCTATTTTATTCAATAGCATTCATGTAGCTGATACATTGTTGCAGGAGAAATCGAACAATCTGGTAAGTTAATCGGAAATGATTGGGTGAATTTTTTAGCAGTTCCGGTTTCTGCTCAAACCAGACAACTACAGGGCGTTAATTAGAGGATGTAAATTACCGGAAGATTAATTGAGCGATGTCTTGGAGATAGTGCGAACTACAAAACGGGTTCGAGTGTTAATTGGAAAGTAGTGTTAGTTTGAGACGGATTTTTATGTTTCTCATATTTTCTTGAAGTTTATTTTATTGAAATTCTCTTAGTTCTTTCGATGGGTTTAAAGGACGAGTATATTCAAAAGATGTTTAGGGAATATTCCGAACATTTTGGCAGTAAAAGGAATTGGGTAGTAAAAAAGTGTTTAAATTTAGCTGTTATCACTAGGGGAATTGGGGAAAATTAATAATTTAATATTACCTTCTAACCAGTTAAGTAAGAGAATTTACTTCAGCTGAAAAGTATAAGATTGTCTAATTTAATTATTTTCGTAGGTTTCATTTGAATGCGGCTTTGCACCAAATAATAATATTCTTGAAGAAATTAATACGATACGTTTTTTAGGAAAGTGTGATAAATTACAAACATATTGGTCTATTCCCTGAAGAATTCAGATTTACCTTCTTTTTATCTCAGAAAACTGTGAGGATTTTCATCAGGTCTTAACAGTATAGAACTAACAATTGAAATAGAAGAAACAAAACAATCAGCGTACTTTTTTAGATATACTAATTAAGAAAAAAAAAACAGTTTTTAAACTTTGGTACATACAAATCGCTATTCAAATTTTAACTCCCATCGCCCGATAATGGTGAAGAAAGGCGCTGTAAAAAATGTATCTAAAGCTATAATAATTTCACCGGAGAAAAAAAATCAGAAAAGAGGTTTACAATTTCATTAAAAAGTCAAATTTATTTGCTGACAAATGTTTTAAAATCTAAAATCTGCAATTAAATCAAAATAAACTTAGGACAAACGGTTTCATTCCATTTATTCCGAGGCTTTCAGACAATATTAAATGAGTAGGTTAGAAGCAAAATTTTAAACGCATAACTTTATGACAAAATTGAAACCACAAGAAACCTAATTTACATATTTTTTACAAATGTAATAAATTTTATATCTGGAAAATATCAAGACCATTAAATAAATAATTAAGGACCAGTCATACATAAAAACTAATACTTATATTTTTTGAAAGAAACTAAAGGCGTTAAAGGCAAGAGTCTGCCTTTATCATATTAACCTTCTATCTATTTTTTTTGTAAATTACAACAAATAGTTAGTAGACGCAAAATGTTACTGGCTTATAACCAAGTTTTTATCTGGATTGGTTTCATCATTACGACCATAACAAACAATGGTTCATAATAAAAATTAAGCAAAATTCAAATTGCTTTTTCACTACTAACGAAAGTATTGAATTGAACTGACTTTTTTGTAATTATGGTTAGGGATTTTGTTTAATTTTTTGTTGTCTGGCATTGATTAAGCTCTGTTGAATGGCTTTACAAACACCGTAAAACCATAAAGGAAAAAACAGTAACAAGCAGTTTGAAAGTGCTTTCATGTCGCCTCCTTAAATAATCGAAAGCATAACAACAAACCTTCAAAACTTTATTAAATGTGGTAAGTGGGTTTGACTCAAGGTAATAAAAACTTCCAGGAAACGATATTTTTTGAAAAATATTACGGCAAATGCCCAACACAACAACAGCGTGAATGGAGGAAAAAGAGATTTTTGGAAATTGTGGTCAGTTACCTTGTTTTCCATTTTCAATGCCTTCTTCAGTCTGCGCCATCACAACACAACACAAAAATCCTATTAAAATCACCTTTAAATCCATGATTGATTCTCTTCTGGGACCAGGTTTTCGAAAAATTCTAAGATACAGTACGAGCATAAAATCGCGGAAAAATCGTATCGAGTCGTACTACTTAAAGTCTACCACTCGGTACCAGTTCTGGCCGCAGACTCGCGACGTCAAAGCACTTTCTACAAGATTTAACACTGAGCACCCGGTGGTGGTTCCGTCGCGAACTTTAGCTTAAGAAGTACCTCGTTGGATTGTTGTCGCTGGGATTTAGCTCAGTCAATTTCTGGTTGGTGGAAAATCAAAGTTTCTGAGCTGGAAAATTCATGTTCAAGTTTCGTGACATGAAAATTTCTTTTTGTAAAATTACGGAAGTTTCACGTGAAAAGTTCTTTCTGYAACTAGTCGCTTTCCGRMTRRTTYTCAASTWGYYGCTYTAYGKAWKATTYTYMMKTTGCTGCTTTCSGTTTTTCAAAWTTTTTTWMAAATTYATAGAWTGYAATCGAGGGCAGGCAAACGAAAGCAAGTTYTGRAGTTTCGTAGAAGAGTCTCGAATTATAAAGGGTTTAATTTTCGAGGAATTTTCGGTAATTTTTTTGAATYTTTCACAATTCTCCGTTGATTTTTGAGATTTTTTACCATTTGCATTAAATACAGCTCTTCCTATTGAGCGGGGTTGTCGAAAATTATTAAAATGTATTCAAGCCAGGTAACCAAAAACAAATTATGAGGTTTTTGTAGAAGAGCCTCGAACCTTTAAGTGTGCAAAATATCAGTTTTCCAGGAATTTTCGTTGATTTCTGAGAATTTTTCACAATGTGCTTTAGAAGAAAGAAGAAAAATAAATTTGGTGGTTTCAGAGACTAGTTAGTCTCGAGTGTTTAAGAGTCAGAAATTTCAGTTTTCACAGGAATTTTCGTTGATTTTTTAGATTTTTTCCAAATTCGCTTGTTCGTATAGAACCATTATTTCCTTGCCGGTGTAAAATCCTTTGGCGAAATAAAATGCGGGTTTCGAAAATGCTATTTCAGTCTAAACCCGGTTGATGAGAGCTAATAAGTTCGAAATAGGTTCTGGGGGTGCCTGAAATTTCACTCTACAGCAATAAATATATTTGGTACTTTGTCCCAAAATACACGCGTTCTCAAGAGCAACACTTGATTATTAAGTCAATGAACACCACCAAAGTAGTTAAATGCTTTAATGCAGTTTGCTTTAAAACGAAAAAAAGTACCGGACTCTATCTCAGGAATGTGCCGTTTGCGCACAGCCCTGCATAATTCAATTCGATTTATTATTATTCGCTTCATTGGCGAAGCGAAGAAGTTCATGTACCTCCGCTGGTAAGAGTCAGGCAGTCAATACCTTTGCATGATGGTACTGTTGAACTCCAGCTCAGCTGAATGTAGAATAAAGCTGATATTTTCCTAAACGATGTTATTTGAAGCCGATTTGCTTTAAATTTAAACGATGTGTGAAGCCATTAAAACACTCCTTAAACTATTAAAGGCTTTCGGATTCTCACCTTCATCAACTACAATTAGCGGGACCATTGGACGTGTTAACAACATAACGAATTCGACAATGTGTGTGCTTAATTTTAAATAATTCCGGATAATAACGACAGTATAAATTGCAAATTTTTATCCGAAGATTCTTTGATTGCGCGAACAGTTCATGTTCAATTCCATTCATTTTGAGTCGCTCTTTATTTGAGTCTCTCAATATTTTTAGTTTTTCTCAAACCAATTTGAAAAGATTATGTAACTGTTGCGTCATGGTTGCTGATATCCAAATTTTGTCCCGATTTCTCGAAAATCTATGCAACGCAACAACAATTTATAATGATGATTGTCAAGCAGAATTTTGAATTAATTTAAGCAGCTACTTAGCATAAGGAAGATGCGATTTTCTACGTTCCCCAGCAGTGATTAAGAGGATTAACCTAAAAGTTTTATGTATAGATCTTTTGGGTAATTGAAACTTACAACACTAGCGCGTGTTTATTAACTAAACTGACAAATTGAGTTTTTTTGCGTTGCATAAGCCGAAATGGTGTCACTAGATAGCAGTTCTCGTTTAAATTAAAGTCATTATCGAAATAGAGTTTTTGCCCCCTGCTGTTTCTTCATAGCCCCCAAAAAACTTGTTTGTTAGCGTTTCGGTAATTGTTTAACAATATAGTAAGGAAATGCGAGTTTTTTGCTGATGTTTTCAATATCAGCGCCAGGTATAAAAAGCTATACAGGCCGCTCCCGAAGTCTTCTGTTCGGTGGAAATTGTTATTTTGAAAAAACGTTTTCTAGCTAGATTATTACGTACAGACTATGACTGACTGAAGAAATTTACACTTTTCAAATAATAGGCTCTTAATTACGTTTACGTAACCGCCGACAACAAAACATATTTTCAACATGATTCATTGACATGCAGATTGAGGAATTTGTAATTTACGTAACTCGGCGGTACCGAAATTCTGAGCTGTCAAAAAGCGTTAACCGTAGCGGCAAATGGGTTAAACTTTCTTGTAAGAGACACTCGAGAATTTCTCTCAGGGGTCAAAAGTTATACGTTTATTATGCAACATATGAAGATTTAATATGTATTGTATTGGTGTTCGCGGCGACCGAATAAAATCTCAGATTGAACAGATACGACTGGAGATTTGTAGGAAATGTTCACAGTTATAAGTTTATAGTCTATTTAATTTTCCTAAACATTTATTGCTAAATAATTGCGCTGAGTGAGTGCAGGTTTGATTTGAATATTAAAAGTGCTTTACCAGATTCAGTTTCTTGATGATTCGACTATTGAATTAGACTTTTTTGGAAGAATGCTTAACTTGAATTAACGCCAATAATTGAAGAATACGTTTTTGCTTTAAATCGATTATTAGCCTCTCTGAGAATTTAGAGTTTTTGTGAATTCCTTATGAAGTATTACGGGGGTTTGACGAAATTGCACCATCGGTCAAAACATAACGGCGCTTTTTTGGTCACATTTCTTAAACGGTTTGAGCTACATCCCTCTTTTGAACACCACGCTATATAGGATTAAGAGCCAATTTTCCAAGTCAAACTTCAGGTTAACAATCAATTGGAAATGTTGGCATATCAAGGAAAGTTACACTTTTAAGTACAAAATAAGAACACTTTTTTGGCTGCTTTCTCACTCTTAAACCCCTGGATATAAAAGTAAAACGGTTATTTAGTCAGACACCACAAAGAAAATGTTGCCTGGTTCCGTACAGCAAGTGAAAATTGATCATACATTTTTCTTTTACGCGGTTTTGGGCCATCGGCTCAAACAGTTCAGTTCAGTTCAGTTCTCAAAGACCAGTCGATCTACTGCGCTCTTCTCGCTCGCACTATTGAATAGACGATTATGAAGCTCAAAAAATATTGGCAGTTTTTTCACAAACAACGGAATTTAAATATGCATTTAGACACAAAATTGTTCAAAATATACGTACAATATGCCGTTTTCTAATTGAAAATTAATTCCAGGCAAATTTAATTAAAGGCCACCACCGTTGAAGGTTTCAGCTCACAACCTTTGAGAGTCTGTGAACACCGACCAGCGTTTCCTATTAAAAAAAAATTAAAAACTGGTAATTAATGGACTAAAAATTGAAATTGGACCTATTTGTCCCTGTGTGAGAAACTGAAAGCATCTGAGAGAAAGTAGAACTTTTCCTTCGCCAGATCCTCAAGAAATTATGCGACTTTGAAGAACTTCTACCAAACAACATGAATTTCTCCAATTTGTCATCAATGAGTCCTACCGATTTTTCAAGAAAAAATCACTATATCCAGGTTTTGGTCTGTTACTGCTGCGAGTTACAACTGAAATTGCCATAAAAGTTATACCCGAATTAATTTATACTTAAGGTTAAACTAAATTCTTTAAATAATTTTAAATTTTCTTCACCATATTATGAAAAATTCATGTACCGTTTGGATGCAAAATTAGTCTTATTTTCAATCGAAATTAAACGTTTTTCATTAATCTTTTTTAACTTTCTTTGTTAGTCTTTCTGTGGAATTTTCAAATATGCACTGAACGGTTGTTCAGCAGTTCACAAGACTAGACACCTTTTAATGAGCATCGCTATAATGGAATCCAGGCGGTATAGATGGCAATGTACGTACCAAAATCGAAAAATTTAATTTCCTGGTTGCTTCTTCATTGCACTTTAAAAATTCGAACTTTCAGATCATTGCACAGCGCTAGTCTTAAAATTAGACTCTTTTCATAGTACATTTTAAAATTCTGCAAAAATATTCAAACATGTTTGAAAATAAAATAACAAGAATCGTTAGCAGCTGGAAAATGTTTCATTGGACAAAGCATTTTGAAAGTTCTCGGCGAAATGTTGACTCGCGTATGACAACAAAGTTAGATCGTTGATTGAAATAGTAGGTATATAATATACTCTTTCAATCAACGGTTAGACACAAAAAACACAAGATATATGATTAATGCAAATTAAAAAATTGGGAATATAAATTTATGAACTATAACAATGTGTGTGTACATTTTCTTCACATCAACGATTATTTACAGTTAGAATAGTGCCAATTGAGACAAAAGACATGAATGCAATGTTTATTCGGTGACTTCAAAGCATATCCATTAAGGATTGTTTGCAAAACATCACACTCAGTAAGTGGATGTTGTTGTTTTTGGCGTGACAATTTTTGCGAAATTGAACTTTTCAGTGGCGTAAGATGTGAATAACCTGACAATGTAAATAGGAGAATCAGATCATTCGTATCATTTTCGCTGTTTTTCGCACTGTAAATGATTTAATAGAATTCCTTTGCTAGTACGCGTATTTCAATTCAGGCGTATTCTATTGGGCCATATTAATCAGAAATATTTACGAACTTCTGTTCTCATTATTATATGCTACTTTTTTGCTACTTTTCGGACCCCAACTGTTTGCCGGTTTATCCGATATTTTTCTTTTATATTAATGAAAGAAATATAACAAAATTGTTTCCGTCAACAAAATGGTGACAATAGAGCAACGTCAACACAAGAAAAATAAAACTGGATAAAGTCGAAATATTTGCTGCTTAATTTAGTATGGGAAGTGAAAAATTAACATGCCAGCTCAAAGTCAAGTCCAGGTTTAGCCTAGAATTTTACGTGATTAGAGGGCGGAATTTAGTTGCCAGAAAATATCGCCAGTATCAACTCAACGTGTGTATCAACGTGTTATTTGGTCACCAAAAAAATTAGAAGTCCTGAGTCCTCAATGAAACGTGGAAGATTTAAATGAATTAATAAAAACTATATTAATTTCGTCCAATTTACCAATTAATTTCCGGTGATTTTTGACTAGTCCCTTCATTTATGATTCATATTCCTAAAATATACGATGATTAGGCGACATCGTAAATTTTATTTTAAAATTGTGTGCCGTCACTATACCTGAATTGAAGTCCCCGCGAATGATAAGCATTAAGATAATGCTTATCATTCGCCAGCCAGTATTCTCAAAAGTACAGAAATTATCTGTTGGATTATCTGTTAGAACAATGGGTTCAGTTTCTTTAAATTGGCACCACAAAATATCAAAAAGACCTATCCCCATTATATTTGTTTTTAGCTTATTTTTAAATTAATTTAAATTAATTTTTGTTGTAAGTCAATAAATAGATGGGTAAGTTCCTATCTATAGAATGTAGTTTGGTTCCTTATCTCTAGAATGTGCGTGTAGTTTTACAAAAACAGCATTACTGTTTCTTCTATATGTAATTTGAGTTAATTAATGAGTGACTTAGGATTTATTGTTTGTGTGTCGTAAAAAAACTTTCAAGAATGCACAACATTTTTAAACAATTCAAAGTCGAACAATCAAACTCAAGCAATTTTTACTAAAAAGTCACATGCATTTATTTCTTTAACAGGTTATAAAATTATTAATAAAATAAATTATTAGAGAAATCAGTAAAACTACATACAGGACACATTTTAATATCACACTGATGAGGGAGAAGAGTTATTTAACACGTAATCTCAGATTTTTCCGATGCCTTTCGGAAGCTTTTTTTGCTTTCGTTTTCGAAGGGATTTCCGAGCAAACACCAACTTTTTGGCGCCCACTTTTAAAAATCGACGCAGTTGGTTTCTGAGGAATGCATCTAATAGATTCATGCGGGTAGCGTCGATTTTGAAATCGAACAATTTTAGATTGTTCGTGGATTTTATTCTAGATAAGAGCTTGCGGGTAATTTTTCCAAAACCTCTTAGTTCAGTGATCAATTCGGTTTTGGTTAGTTGAATCTCTCGTTCCAGCTTCCCCAAATACGTATTTCGCATGCCCAGTTTAAGTACCTCTGGGTTTGCATTCGTACTCAGTTTAAGTAGACGAAGTTCATGTGCTGACCTCTCATATATTTCCAGAACGGTGTAAACTATTTTATAGATCTGAAACGGAAATGCCTGTAAGCGTTGATGGGACTTTATTTGCTTTTTTCTATTATTTCTTTGCTATAAGTTACCTTATTAGGTTTTGTTGTCCTATTTAGGATGCTTGTGAGATTCTCGAATATTATATTTTGATGTTGTCTAGCTTCTAACTGGAACAATGTTAAATTCATTATTTTGTTGGAATATTTAGGAAATCCGCTTGGCCCAAGTCCAGATAAAAACATTTTTTTTCATCTGAAAATGTCGAATTACAGTGCTTACATTTTTATCCGGATGAAAGTGGATGGAAGTGGCTTCATTGTAATTTCTATTTGAAAAAGTTCTTTGAAGTAAATGCCACTGCCTCTGAAGGAATCGCATATGTTGTGTATCTGGCAGTCCTTCCGCTTCAGGACGAAAACTTGGCATTACGTTTAATGCCATAAATACCTGTATGGCATAAAGCACCAAACCTGCAAAGATTTACTGTGGGAGCTTAGAAATGTATTTGTTAACAATCTCCTTTGTTAAATTCTATATAGTACAGACTAGCTTTTGTAGATTGGAAAATTTCAGGAGTTAAGACCTAAATCAAGACAGTTAACTACACCTGAAAATCGCGCAAGTAATCACTCACTCACCTCCCATAATCGTAACAACAACCCAGCACATACAATGTACATCTTAACGAAAAGGTATTCATTCGTTAAATAGAGTACTGAATATCACATCATGTTTTTATATGAGTGGGAGTTGAGTTTCTGATTAAGTTAGATAAATATAAGCAACGTTTAGAAATTTCCTAACAATTAGTTGAGAAGATTAAACAAAAAGACACCACCTTTTCAATTTTTAAGTATTTTTCCTTATGACAGACTTCTCTATCAGATAATTGCTTTTCTAGGTGCATTAGCATTTATTAAATGAGTCAATTTTGTGCTACCTTATAAATATTGTAGTTTGTGCATGGATTGGGCGCCAATAAGTAATGTGGAAAATAATCTCATCTATTATTCATACATAAAATTTTTGATTTAAGGCGGCAAACTACTCAGATTAACAGAACAAGTTCCGACATGTCAATTTCTAGACAAAACGAACTCCAAAATTATTAGTTCATTAAAAATCGTTGTAATTTAATTAACTAATTACCTGCATAAGTATATTGCTGCATTCGAAACGGAGTGTGTAGAACACTCAAACACAACATTGTTTTACTGTGAAATGTTTTCTCAAAAAATTGACACCTTGAAAAGATGCAACTCGTTTGGCGAGCTAATTACTTCTGGCTTATCTCTATTTGCACCGATATTAATACTTCTATCGGTTTCCAATTCGGTTCGCAATTGTGTTGTTTTAATCAATCGTAGAGAATTACGATTTATTATCACCTAAGCCGACTTTTAAACTTTTACTTTTTTTAAATCTTTTATGTCATTATGAATTTTTTAATATTGAAACACCTGAAAATTATTATCTAAATTATTTTTATTATTGTGCAATGTTTACTCTCGCTCAACTACGCACAAGTTCTTCAATTTTTTTACTAAACATTTTTAAAACGAATTTTGTAGTTATGCATGGTAATACATAAGTGACTAATTAATTGCTTAATTAATAGTTTCATTATGGGGTTACAAATATAATAATTTGAAATAAATTTATGTTTGGCAATATTTATTTTAAGACCGTTTTGTTCTCCCACTTGACCTTCGATTCGATTGTGTTTGCATCAATCATTGGCTTTCGAGCCCTTGTCCGTGACAATCGATTTCGAACTATTTCGTAGGAGTCAAAAAGAGACAAACACAACAAGAAATTAAAGATGCATTGACTAAAATGACTGGCAATCGAACATCTAGTATAATTCAAATTTACGAAAAACTATCGTTTATGGGACTATCATCCGGTTCAATGAGGAGTTTCTTGTCTTTTCTGAGTACCTACGTGTTTTAACTCCAATCAATATTTTTAAGGAAGAAGAATTACATCTTTTTTGTCCCAGATTTTTACTAAGACGTAATTCGGATTGATACTAATGGTTATTGCGATACATGTAAACTTGGTAAACGGCAAGAAAAGGCAAGGCATATAGACTATGACTAGCGAAATTAAAACAGCAACATTTTACTAGAAAATATATTCATTTATTTACAAAATAATGCATATAACATTTTCCTCACTGATTATCCTCGTTTGTAATTAAAATATAATACTGATTTTAAATAATACATAATGTAGCATTCCGGGCAAATAAAATTCTGGTTTTTACAATTAGAAAATCGAGTTTCACCTAAATGCTGGGGGTTTGTCCTATCCTACACGTTACTATTTGTATAATTGTTGTGTAAACTCACACATCAGCAAACATCACTGCCAGTCTAAGGCACATGGGGCACAAATGCCCCAAATAAATTAAAATAAATAGCAAAGATCAAAATATCACAAAATACAATAAATTATATACAAAATCTAGTATAAACCTGGGTTTCTTTCCAGTTTCGCCCGTTTCGTCAGGCCAGTTCTACAATATAGCTGAATACAACCTAATATTTCATTTAATGAAAGTGTAACATCCAAAAATCTCTAGACAAACACGATTCTTTGGAATGACAATGAAAGGAGAAGAGCTTTTCTCCAATTATATTCGTCCTAGTACATAATTATAATTTTCTAATATTATCCCTAAATATTTGAAAAATTGCTGGCCTGAAACAGCTGTATGTTTTAGAAACATTTTTGAAAATTGTAGGTTTTTCAAATATTTTACATGGAAATTAATAGTTATAAGGAGGCTGAATTTTATACTGGATGCTGTTCAACAAACTGTTTCAGACCAGGTCCAAGTCTACATTAAAACATACGGTTAGTCCGTTAGTTTTTGACTATTTGTTAATTTTCACAGCCTTCAAACCAATTAACCGATTAGGCCCATCTAATATAAATCATAAATATAAATTTGTCACAATTGCTCGGACTTTCCAAATCCGGGCCGAAAGGGTTAACTTGGCAGTTTTCTTAATTAAGAATTAAACAAATAGGCAATTTTTTAAGCGTAAGCAACAGATGGAAGACATATTGATTTGATGGGGACATATTCTTTTCCAAAGACAAACATAGACATTTCAGACATATATGAAGGCGATTTGGGTGAGATCTGTATAATACCTACTTAGAGCTTAGATTAAGCATTTTAAAATACATATTGCTTAAAGTACCTACTCAGTCCTGAACAGTTTATTACATTACAAATTATATACGACCACAATTTTATAATTGTACTTACCGATTTTGGAGTACAATTTACCTGATTATCAGCTGATGATTGTCTCACCTAAATCCCTAATCATTATGCCTACGAGTCTTCGAGTGTCTTCGCCGTTTGGTGAGCAACGTGGACTTGCGTTTCAGCTTTTTCAAGATAGCCTTGCCGGCCATGAATAATCGCCTCAATTTGTTGAAATATTGCATATCTAGGGCCCCGATCTGAGTTAAATCAGGATCTTTAGGTATGCAGCTGATACGTTTGGTGCTAGGATTGAAAGGGAGCACAGTGGCGTTGTAATCGAACGTAATAATTTCGTCAAATTCGCAGATAACAAGACCCAACCGCGCTTTGGTGGTTGAGTAAATTTTCTCTCGAAATTGTTGAAACTGTTTTAAGTCGGTAAATTCGGCATTGATGCTGAGCTTCTGGAGATGGTCCAGGACAAAAGACATTTCCATTAAGGATTTGTGGAATTTTTGGTGCGCCTGAAACAAAGAGAAATTATCTTAGTTTGGTTTGTTTTAAAATTTCAATTTGTGCTTCTTCTCTACATTTCTTTTTTCTTGTTCTCCTTTCTTGGGTTATTTGGTCTTGGACATTCTGTCTTTTGGACAATTTTGGACGTGTTTTCTTACTAAACTTCGATCTTTTCAATGATAAATTGTGTTAGGAACAAGTTGAAAACATTCGACAGTAGGTATATAATGGAATATTATTAAAATAGGCTCTGGCCTAATGATTTGGTGTAGTTTTGACTTTTTTAAATAATTAAAATGTATGTCATTAAGTCAAAGGATTTTAATCTTCAATTGTTCAGACGGTTGCAAAAACTCGATTTTGAATTCGAAAAAAACAAAAATCTAATTGAAAAATACGAACAGAATTGCAATTATTAATTTATTTAGAGTATTAATCGTTTGCTATTGTCTATTTTTGCATTAGTTCCAATAAACCTTTTCGTAAATTTTGAAATCGGGCGAATTTTTAGCAACAATGTAAAATATCGAGGAGTTATCGGTGAATGTGTTTAAATACCAAACCATTAAAACGATTAAATACTTGGACTGGTACATTGCCGCTGATTTAACGGTATCTTGACTTTTGGACTTTTTCTGCATTTTCCATGAAAGTGAACGTTTTTACTTATTTCTTAAGTGAAATAGTGCTACTCTTACTAATTCCTCTTGATGAAGATTGATACTTACACGAACAATATTCTGCTGCGCGCTGATGGAGCTGATTAGTTTATTGATTCTGGGGCACTTGATTGTTTTGGTTTTAACATTTGACTGAAACGAAGAAATAAACCAGTTACTAAAGTGCTAATTTCAGTAAAATGTTATCCAAGGCATATTAGTGAGCCTAAATATTTCGAATGAATTAAAATCGAACTGAACTCTCACCTGATGAGGATACGTAGCTCTGATTTCGGGAAGCATTTGGTGATTGATTGTGTGAATCATGGATTGCAACTCCCTTTCAGCAGCACTTCTCACTTGCCGAGTGGTGTTTTTCGAACAAACCCAACCTGGGTTAATTATCGGTGAGGCATCGACTACTGAAAGCGTAGCGAGCAGCAGCAGCAAAAATGGTACCACCAAAGCTGAAACCAAAGGAAAAGAAAATTCTAATATGATGGAGGTTCATATTTTCAGTGAATTTCCTGTGTTGATCCACTGGAGATTGTGGTCAGATCAACAAATAAGCGGTATAAAATTAAATCAAAGGTCATGAAAAGGAGGTCAATAGTTAGAACGTTAGGATACATAATCCAGAGGAGGTGTAATCTTAGGGAAATGTTGTTTACAGAATTGCTCGTGAAATCGTTCTTAAACAAGCAGAAACTGGTAGGAAGCAGCGATTTATTGCATAGGGGATTCCCTCGTATGTAAATGTTGAGGTTGTCTGTGTTAATTAATTACTTTAATAATTATTAACATGCATCAAGGTCGAATGTCCTAGTGTTCATTTTGTGATGTTTCTGCAGCTACGTTTAAGGGTTAAGTAAATGTCGGGACATTTCGAAAATTAGTCACAGATTAAATTAAAATGTTAGGAATCCGGCACAGATAAACACAATGAGTAGTAAAATGGACTGCTGAGTAAATAATGGCTTACATCTCATTTGTCACCGCATGATAACTAAGTGCGGTCTGCAATTATTTTTACCCGTAAAAAGTTGCTAAAAAGAGCGAGTCTCGATAAAGTTGCTCAGCGAACTTGCTGCCGCTCACTTGAATCCATAAAAGCAAAGAACGTTTCAACGTTTTCCGGTTTTTCACCGGTGGGATCAAAACATTGCAACTTAGCTGCAGCCAGGAAAGCTGGGACGGAAATTCATGTGCAAAACTACAAAATTGGAGTAGTATTGAAAGTACTTATATAAAATAGGAGACATCAAAAACTCACCCATTTTTCGTAAAATCGAAAACAGTTGAGACTAGTACAAATGTAGAGAGCCGAACACAAACGAGAGTGGTATGAAAACAAAGACACAGCAACTACCTACTAAACACTTTATGAACGAAACAGGATTTCAAGATTTTTCTGAACCTTTCGTACGATGCGATGACTAAGTACAATTCGTAGTACTACTGCTCGCCAATTGTCTAAAACACGACTGGCTACAAAACCAATTCGTATTTTATACTAGTTGGCCATAGGGAGGTTGATGCCATTACAATTGACAGTATGTCCAGCCTCTAAAATGGGAGTTGCTCACTCGTTTTGGAACCACAGTGCGGTACTTAAGCTGGCTTTTGCGCATCTTACCTCTTTTGTTATCGGATGGCAGTTTTTGGTTGGCTGGGCCAAGAATGTGTGCTTTTCTTGTGGTGCGTGGGTGGTGGTACTGGGGGTGGGCCAGGGGTGTGTTTTCAACCACTACTACGAAGGTGGGGCGTTTTTATGCTACCCATTCATAACCTGGCCACTTACGCACAGGTTGTGTAACCGTTAGCAGACGTACAAATTTACGAGGAATTCGCTTCCTTTTCTCGAGAATTTTAGTGAAATTTCCAATACTGAGCGGAATTCACGAAAGTTGTCGAAATGCAAGTACCAAAGCGTATAAATTCAGAAAATTATAAACTTAAATGTTTGAAAGTAACTAAGGTGAAAATTGAAAAATATTTTTTTCAACTTCTGTCGTTTCTCTTATCTTATGGCTGGCTCGAACAGTAGAAAAATTTCAGCTAATTGTTAGATTCGTTGTTTTATGCTTGAAATCAGACGAACGTTGTTTTGAATTTTTCACAATCTGTACGCTTAGATTCTTAAGAAATAGAAATACGAGAAACTGCAAACAACTAAAAGCAGCGTAGGAAATTAATTGAAAGAAAAGGGAGTGAATATGGAAAACTGTTGATTAAGTTTAAACAGAATTAACCTGCAAGTAACATTTTAAAAACTGATAAATCATAATTCGTTTCGTTGAATTTCGGCAACTTTTATTGCAGTTCAAGTCAAACTTAATAGAAATAAATGCAATAAGCTTGTAGTTGCATTTATGGAAATACGACTTAGGAACTAACATTTCAATAAATTTAATTATCACCAATACAATTTGCAGGAATAGAGTACTAGGGGAAAAATACTAAAAAAACAATCATAAACTCAAATCGGTTTACATGTGGCCAATATGTCTCGTATACCAGATTTACTACCAAACGAAAATATTTGTTAGCAAATACAATTTTCAGTCGACATTAAATGAGTATCAAATTGGTTTAATSGTTTTGTGACTTTTTCCCAATGGATTTKTTCGGCCTTTGCTCTCATGCTGCATTTMCATATACAGAAGTATGCAGAATAGCTTTAATAGCATACAAATATCGWAGATTAATGGATAAACTCTGTCCGGGTTAACCAACTAATCACCCTAGTAAAATTTTTATTTTTTGGTCGATGTCAACGGTTYTTTTTTGAGTAGTAAGATATTCAAAATGCGCAGTKTTATAGTAACATTTTACTATAAAAGTCCAGTTTGATGTTGTAAAATTTCAAAAAGTACAATTAGGGCAGTTTTTAGCAAAAKAAAGGTGACCGATTCGCACTTAAAATGTCCTAATATCCATCTCCGATTTGCATTGTTCTKTGAAGCCGGACATGTATATAAATCTATAAAAYAATTTCATATATRRAAAATTACAATTTRGAATAARYATCCTCACAAAAATACTAAATTATTTTTTTAACCATTGCGCAAATCATGAAATWGCTGTYATTACTAGAAATACAAATTTTAACAATTATTTTGATTGAAGTTTATTGATTACAAAGTTAAAGTCCGTAACTTTTCATTTTAATTTAAYTTTACTAGTTTCAATTAATCCACTGAAAACCAATAATCCAATCATTGATTTTTCTGCACAACCGGTTCTGCACAGCAATCAAAATCTCAAAATTGATGTAGATGGATTTTAAGCCATTTTAAGGGAGAATCGCGATCCATTTGTTCCTTAAAAATTGCACAAATGTTAGGTACCTACTGTTCGAAATCTGAACAATTTTTGTTAGCCATTTTTGTGTGTTTAGTGCGCAGGAAATATTATYTACAACGGRAAATGTGATGTTAATTACAAGCCTAATTCGACATAGGGCAGRACAATTAATCCTAARCTAGRTATATAAGAAATTCCTCAAAGTTTTCCTGGTTCTTTTCTGGYAGCAGAATTCCACTTTACTGTGAATTTTGGTAGGGTTTTAGCTTTGTTTTCCGTTTTTTTTAAGCTCTTTTCACCAAGGCCCAATATYGTTCGATTGGGCGAARCTCTGGGYAATTTGTTGGGTTGACTCGCTTCTCTAGAGTCTAGACACGGAAACGACTTWATTGATTTGGCACCATTCTACAGCTCCCTTACTTCTGTTTCAWGAATGAAAAATTCAAATTTMGGTGTTTATCGTCCAATTCTTTACGAAAGATTTGTCGCGCTCTTCACAGCTAGACAAGGCGTGCCACACTAGAAACTCTGCCTTTTTCTTAGACCTGAACTCTTGATTGACACCTGCGCGCTTATGTGCTGCGTAAAATTATTGACCCAGAAGCTGGGAGAAGTCACAAAGAACATACGTTTCGTCATCCAGCAGACAGCGAATTTCTTTTAAAAAAAATCGTCTTCAGTCAGGATTGCCTGGGATTCTTCTCCAATTTTTCGACAAGTTTGTTCACTGTTGGTGGGCATGTAAATCCACTTTTCGGTTAACATTTAATGTTTGCTTGCACCTCTGACTAACGTTTGATACGGTCGTTCGACGAACATATACGTCTGTGGCAACATTTCGGTGGGACCACGATGGATTTTCTTAAAAATTATTAATTCACGTGTAATTTCTCTACCAACAAATATGTACAGTTCGGCTTTTAACATATCAGAATCGTTTAGAGGTTTCAGGACTTATCTTTACCCTTACTTACAAATCAAACACAAAGTTACCATATTTTCAAAGAGTTTTTATAAAACTAAAGAGTAATAACAACATGCTCAGAGGATATTAGCCTGTAATTAAAACCGAATTCACTTATCTTGATTTGAATGCTAGTGCTGTGTAGGTAAGTTCTAAATATAAGTGTTAACAATGATATAGCGGCAAAACAGATGTATGAGCTGTAAGATCAGTTATGAACTAGGTGATCTCTGATATTATTCAGCTCAGTCAGTTAAAGGAAATAGCCAGTGACCGTGGGGAATCATTAAACCCTTTTAAACGATAAAAATGCTGAACCCCAAAAGTGTTCAAGTTCTAATTAAAAAATCTTCTTCATCTTCAAAGGAAACCACCGACGCTTCTTCGCACCGATTTGTCATGAAACCGAATCCACCGACCAAATAAGTTGTTAGACGATTGTTTGATTGGCACCTAAAGTTTGGGAGCAGGTTCATCATTCACCTGCATGAGTCAGCTGAGTGTATTCAGTATTTTAACACAATTTTATGAAATCGACCAGAGAATGACCCGGATGAAAATGATCGAGGCCAATGATCTTCCAAATTTCAAACATTTCAATTTCAGTTCCGAATATGGAGGGTTATTCTCGTTTCGGTTTAGCTCGTTGGATGATTCGCCTGATGTTAAACGAATAACAATTGAACACTTTACAAGGAAAGAATAAATTGGAAAATTAGAGCAAACCAATAGGGAAGAAGGAACATTTTATTTGATATTGTTGTTGCGGATTTAGCTGGGTTGGTCAGGGAAAGGCCACCAGGTGGTCGAGTTTCCATTCGATAAAATTAATGCTTCAATTAACAAACTATATATTGGTTTATAAATATCAATCATCTGTTTATACCAAAGAGTCGATTTCAATGTTATCCTTATACATAGACAAACAACGCTCTCAACACATTTCCAACTAAAAATAAATAGCGTGACATAGTTAAATACGGAATTTTCAGTGGAAATAACTTGGCCTAGGTCGCGGTCGAGGCTCATTTTGTGAAGATCATGGCGAATATCGAGTACTTTATGACCGAACGGTGATATTGGAGTTCATTGATTGTATCACAACAACCGAGGTGGATTTTATGGTACTTTTTATTATTTTTAATGACGCTTGAAGACTGTTGAAGTTTTTTATACATTTTTCCGCACAAGGGGAGATCGAGACCCCCATGACCCCCCATATGAATCCGCCCTTGACTGACTGAAGAGAGTTTCGATAATTTTTAAAGATGCCACCCAAAAAGCAATTTTACTCTTTCCTGATGAAATGTTCCTGAATTTTACATCTTTAAAAAAATTGTATGAAATCAACTAAATGAATCGCAAAGATTCAAGTCTGTACCACAATGAACAATGAACAAATGCAAGCAAGTCGTTTAATTTTAAGCAAGCACGATTAATGATTGAACAATCAGTCTTACGGAGACAATGGAAAGATATTATAATAATCCACAAAACTGGACATAATCAATTTAATGGACCCTGAAATATGGACATAATAGTAATTCGCCCACGCGAATTGGCGAAATATGAATGAGAAATGTTGGGAAACAGTATTACTCACGAATAGATCGGAAATTAAATTGAGAACGTCTTGGCGATGAAATCGACAGTCATGCTAGCGGTGAATTTGAGACTTGGAAAACTACGAGAAGACGTTTAATTGGAGAACGAATGCAAATTTGGGGGAAATTACGATGCGAAAACCTTTCTCTATGACTGGACATTAGAAAGAAGCGACTAATTAGTAGAGATTTGGAACAAGAAAGTTTCGCAAGTAGCAGGTGGTGGGTGTGTACTCACTTTTTAAAGAGATATTGAAGGAAGGCGGAAATTTTTCTGCAAGTTGACTCTAATGTAAACGAGACCTTGGAAATGCATAACAAATCTGACAAAAATCATTCAAGTAGGATTCATTTTCACTATAAAAGAGTTTTGGAGTCATTTGCAATAGGAAAATATCGCTAGATGCTGATGGAAAGAAGACAAACTCCAACCACAACCATAACGTGCGGTTAAGACGATTCGTATAGAAGAAGTTTTCTATTTAAGGGCTTAAATAGTTCGTGAGGACGCAATTAAACAATCTGATTTACGCAATTAGCAGCAGCATATTTGACTACAATTTCGTAAAGTTTTAACTTTAAACCCACGTATTTGTACGCGAATTGTGAACTTAAGATTAAAATAGGATTGATAGGATAGACCATGATAGTCTGTGACACCTGATAATGCGAATTAGTTGGTGTAATGCTTGCTTTCAAGTGAATGGAGGAAAACTGGAAATGATCAGCTGTTTGGATTCGCGACGATATTGTGACTATTTCGCCGAATTTATCAACAAAGCTGAGAAATGATATTCATGTGTAATAGATAAGTTTGTTGAATCCTGGTGCTTAGCTTCGACCTCAAAGCAAACATACCTCTGTGGTTGCCTCACGCGTACCAGTTTTATTGATATTAATACATACTTGTAACGATTATTTACTTATTACATTTGAGATAAGCGGCTGATTCATGTGTGCAATGTGCAAGTTTTTTTGCATTTGGCAATATTATATTGTCTTGGGATGCGCTATTGGCTTCAGCAACAGCAAGTTGAAACTGGTCAAACGTGCCGCACTAAAGAACTGGAAGCGTTGAACCACAGACCAAATTCTTTGGGTTAGTTTGGGTTCCACAAAAATAGTGCTCGCACCTTCTTGCTTTGATTAAGGACGCTGCTGCGCCTTTCGAAGATGTAAAATGAAGGTTGATGATGGTTATAATTAAATTGTTGGCGAACCCTGTTGCGTATTTAATGGAATAATTTTCAGTCAATTTGTCTAAGACGGAGGAGGAACTGGGGTTGAGTGTTACAATGGAGCTGTGACTTATCTGAAGACCTACCTTGTGGATTTAGCGATCCAATGCGGAAAAATACTCCAGCCATGTGATAATTCACAAAACAGTTAATTACAATTATGACACTAATTACGCGACAAATAGCACTGATGTAAACGTAGCTGAATCTGATATATTGGTCTTCTATCGTTCGGAATCGTGATTCATGCAAAAGTCCGCGCGGTTTTTCGTGTAGCGAGTGCGTCTCGCCGATTTTCGTTGTTCGTTTGTCTCGTGTGTCGTTTCTGAAATTATCCTAAGTATCGGCTCCATTTTATATGCCCCCTCCAATTACGCGATTTTACGTCATGTGTGAGTAGGGTTCCCACACATCCCGGAGGATGACAACCTGGTACCGGGAACCCGGTCCAGTTATTTGCAGTTCCGGTTCGAACGGAGCCGGCCCATATTTTCATCAAAATCAGCTTCACAGACAGGTTAACGAACCTTAACTCATACGAAGTACCAATTACCATAGAAAAATCATTTTTAGAACCTTTTCATAAAAAACTGGATGGCATTGAAGATAAAATTCAATGTAGGTACTCTTATCCGGTATAGTTGAAGAGTCCAAAGGACTTGAACAGTCCTAATTTTATTTGTCACTCAAGTGGGCTTATAACTAATAAAATTTCGACGCAAATCTCTCACTTCAATGAGATTTTTCTCACCATTTAGTGAGGAGCAGCGAGTAAGGGGACAAAACTACAAGAACTTGCATTGCCATGGACTCGGAGGTGAGGTAAGAGGCTTTGCCGGTCTCTATTCCAATCTCTGAATGGCAGTTAATTATTTTTTTATTGGCCAATAAATATAGATATATTTTGCATTGTTTTCAATTGAAAGTTTTGTTTCTCTTTCGTGTTTCTCTTTCGGGCCCCTCTTCTCTGTGCTTTAACTTCTAATGTAATTGCAGTTTCTAACTTGGGACACACCCAAGTGTGTGTTCTTAAAGTAATGCTTGTGAATCTTGGTTAAGGCAATTTAACTTCGCAAGAGCCTTATTCTGCAATTATTTAATTGGAGCCAACACTTGAAAAATGCCTAGACAGACACCCTGTATATTTGGAATTGCTTCTTATCAGCTCATTGTCAGAAAACTGTATACCTGCTAGATGCAGACGCCCCAAAGTACCTTTTCGGCAAGATCGAGCTTTGATTCCCTTTATTGTTCAAATTTGAGACTACCGAAATGACATTTTTGGGACAGTTGCAATGGCCGCTTAGGACCTATAGAGAGAGGCCGCCTCGGTCACCGGATTTGGCCCGGTTAGTTTCTTCGGACACATTTCTAATTTTTTTTCTGAAACTGAACATATTGAACTGAACTCAGCTCCCTTCCAAAGTGATTGGAAAATTTCCATTGCCCAATCAATCTTGATATTAAAAGCCATTTTCTTATTGATTTTAATTATAGTTCCGCTTCGAGAGGGAATCCCATATGTCGACTTCGAGCAATTATTATACTTCTAATTGTTGTTTACAAAATCAGAGAAATGTATTTTTATCGACGAGAAATGTGTTGTCATCAGCCGCACATGGGTAACTGGATGTGTTTAAAACAATTTTAATAATAAAGGGGGTTTGATTATTTGATTTCCAGTTTTATTATGTTATTTGGAGCAAGTACAGATGTTCACTGAGGATTTGTGTTTTGGTTCCTAATGGAGTAAAGATGTGAATTTTCGATAATTTTTATTTTTGACCACTTGGTCATTAATACTAATATTGAGGGAAAGTGTAATCCATGTGGGTGTGGTATTTTAGAGCAGCAATTTGCACTTCTCCCAGCTACTGGGCCGCCAAAAATGAATAGCCGCAGTTTATTAGTGGCCTTAGACTCTTTAGTTTATTAAGAAATCTGTCAAGCTGTGCAAATGATCGCAATACTTTATTTTGTCTACACTTTTAATCATTTTCGCTGTTGGGCACGTTTCATCCCAATATGGATAAAAACACGTGTTTCATTTGAAGACTTCATTTAATTCAACACCCTGAATTTTGCTCAGATGCAGAAACTATTTGTTCCATTTGAAATCCTGCACTTTCTTTAATCAGCAAATGTAAATTTACCTTTTTACCTCATATGGATTAATGAAGAAAAGGAAAAAGCAAACGGCAGGCCAATCTAATAATCGAATTACCCGATTCCTCGAATGGCGGTTATTATAAAGCTAAAGACCTACAACAAATCCCCATAAAATAATTCTTTCACATACGGTGTCTCGATAATCGGTCAAATACCAGAAGTCGAACATGAACAATATAAAACCGCGTACTGCACATATTATTTTTACGATCACATTTTATTACTAGTAATGGATCCGCTAGTTTTTCAGCTCTAGTAATGGAAGTTTAATTGTGCGGTGTTTATTGATTTCCAGCTCCCATCGTCTACTTGAAGAAAACAACATCCTTCAACAAGGTTAAGCGTTGCGCCTTCAGGAGTGCCAATTGATAAATCCGCTTCATTTGCTTGCATGTAGCTGTTGGATGACTTTTTCAGAAAACTTGGCTTTAAACTGGTAGCTAGAGTTACGAGGACAAAAATAGTGTTTTTTTTTAAATCATTCATGATATAATGTTTGAGTTTTGTCGAGAGCTGAAAAGTCTCAGTAACTTGCGCTTTGAGGAGCTAAATTTGCTTTTCATATGCTTGAGCTGATTTCAAAAATATCACTTGGTGCCAACAATAGTGAAGAATATCGATCTTTTGATTCGTCTTTTTTTATATTTGCTAATCGTTTTATAACACTGCCATTTATTTTAGGGAAGGCAAAGCATTTTTTTATTTTTGTTAATGTGTCGAATATAATGATTGACTTCTGAAGACGCGTTTTCAACTCATTATTCCCTTGAAAATCTAAAATGCATAACAATCTCGAAGATTCATCAGGTTTGCATTCCTTGTTGAGACTCCAAGTGCAAAATTCTATATTAGAATCGTATGGAAAATATGGTGTGCTGTTTTTTACAAGGCAATTGGTTCTTCTGGGAAAGTAAATCCAAAATTACCAAAAAATAATAATTTTCATCGTAAGCCAACGTGAAATCAACTGAACAATTTTAGCAATTATGAATTAGATTTTGCGAGAATCTTTTTAACTACTCTTCATCACCTCCAAAAGACAGAACGCTGTAAGTATATTCCTCTAAACTTGTTTATGATTATACATACGAAGCCTACATTCCAAGTTAAGAATTAACATTGTTATCAAAACGAAATACGGTCAAATGGAAATCTTGCCATTGTCAGTTATTTCCATTGGAAAATCCGTTTTTCCTATCGAGCATTGCTTCCGATATGGTCGGATAACGGCTAATTTCGAAACGGTGATCCCCGTCTAGGACGACACTGAATAGTCATTTTGTCAATAAACTTTTCAATAAATAACCAGCATTTAATATGCGGTTATTACTTATGCAAATTGGTTCATTTTTATATGTAATAACAGTTAATTGAATGTATTTGCGATGATTTACGACCAGAGGGAATCACCCGAAATGTTTCATCGGGTTCACATTGAAATCTGGGTGGAACCACGGTTGTAAATCTGGAGGACACTCGATTACTTTCTCCTGTTCGATATTGTTTGGTTTGATGACTTGATCAGAGTTTTGTCACCTGTTGACTAATAATCTAGCAGCCGCTTTACGTTATTATCATTGCGGTTTGAATAGTTGTGAAACTAAATGAAATGTTCGTTGAGTTAATGGCTTTTAGCATGTCGATAATCCATTTTTTAAGTTCGGTACTTTCTTCTGGACTGTGACCAAGTCATTGATACCAACACTCCATCTTTCCTCCTTCTTTGGACAAAATTACTATTGACTCTACTCAGCAAGGTCTACTTGCAAGATTATTCATTAATAGTTTCATTCAGTAGATCGAAAGCTTTCAAGTAGGATGCACTTGCAAAGTGGTGGATGCAAAATATCAACTGTAAACCTGCAGTTGAATATCAACTATCCTATTGTACCAAAGAAGGAAAGCCGGCATTAACATATTCATTAACACAAGTAACAATCTGCATGACCTAGGCAATTATGTAGTAGGTACCATTTGCCGAAGAACACGCACCACATGAATCATGTCGTAAAACCAACACACTAAATCTGCATGGAACCACGAGCAGCTCTAAAAATAGCACTTACCGCCCACTTAACCTGGAGGTTAAAGAAAGTGTTGGCTAAAAGTGGTGTTTTTGGTATGACGACAGGAATTCCTTTTAAAGATTGTCGGTATTCAGATGAGCAATATCCCGATTGTTAATCACTCGTCTAAATGTTAAATTACTTAAGATCGGCGACGACGATATTGTAATGTCGTTTTGCACATTGCCGACATATTTTATGGGGGTTTGGAATATATATTATCAACATTTAAACAGCACAATTCGACGGGTTATGTCATCCGACACTTTTCAGTTACTCAACAGCATTCCTGCAACCTTTTCAAGTTAACGAGGCACTCCAGACTTTGTGAGCTCTTAATTTCCTCGGTAAATTTTACTTCAGAACTAAGGCGAATTTATCCATTGACAGCAGATGCACTTTTGACTGTGTGGCTAATTGGAGAAAAATCCGTTCCCGATTTTGTCCTTCCAGACTACCCAAATTGGTTGGAAGTTGATACTAATATTGAATAACTTTTACGTTAAAATTGTATTACAAGCTAATAAAAAATACAAGTTTTTTATACACGTTGTATAAAACAATGACACCTCAGATAGCAAGTAAACACTGTTGAACAGTTTATAGCAGATATCCTTTACGCAACTCTTGAAATTAGTTAACGTGTGAACAGCAAGTTTACTTAATCTTTGCGAAGAAGCTTTAGTTCTTTGTTCATTAGTAGTAACTATCAGTAATAATAAATTAGTAATTCCGTTCGTCTCCATATTTGTCTGATTTGTGCGAAGGTCAAAATTGTATCAGTCAAATTAAAACGCAAAAATATCTACGCCTTAAATCAAGTTTGTTGCACTTTTGTTAGAATGTCTAACTGATAGCAGATGAAAAAACATTCGAGTTGGGTACGATTGTGTACTGCAACTTATTAGGCAATAAAAATGTACTCGTTAATAATTTTGAATTACAGAATAATAAAAGTTTGTAAATTGTCGAAAATTTCAGATTTTTATTTTATTTTATTTTTGAGGTAATTTGATTTAACTTTACGCCTGATTTAAAAGCAAGACTTGCAATACTCGGGCTGCTAGACCAAGACTATGACTATGCAA